TACGTAACGTTACCCTCCAGAGTTCAAATTATTTATGGCACGAGACCTGATTGTTAACGTGCAAACATATAGATTGTATACGTAATACATGTATGTTCAAATTATTATCTTTCATCTATTACGTCGACCACCAGGTAAACTCAGAAAGGAATCGATTTAAGCGACGGTCACAACCCGCCGTACGTGCTTCTGCGTGCTGTCTACGTGCAAAAACGTGGGCAAATGTAGGGCATCCGTGCGTGGTGAGTACCACCTCCGTACGGAATCCTACGGATTTTGGAGCACGCAGACACGCCGTAGAACTTTAAATGCATGTAAAACTTTTTCTACGTGCGGCCTGCGGATTCCCTCCCCGTGCATGCGAGTACGAGCGACGTACGTGCCCCGGACGTGCAGTGCGGAAGAAGCACGTGTGAGTACGGCCTCCTTACGGTAAAGTTGCAATCGCACAGAGATCGTACGTTGTAAGCACGTACAACTCACTTACCACTTGCGCAACGTACAATGCATGCAACCGCTCACGGCCAGACGTAACGTGCAGACCACACTCTTACACCTTGCGCAACCGTACGAGTGACGTGCGAGTGACGTGCGTAGACGCCACTCCTTACCTACGTTTTCAGAAAAAACGTAGCAGACGTAGCCTCCCAAAAACGTACGGATAAAAAGCACGCACGGCGGGTTGTGACCGTCGCTTTAGACAAGTAGCATACATGTTTACAAGTACCATAAATGTTTATAAAACTCATAACACCACTCTAATCTCTATGTTAAGTCAACATGAAGTTCCCTTTCAAGTTTCAATGCATTGCATGGTAGAGACGCACTAAACAAATATTATCTACGGGTACCAGGCCATTTATCTTACATTATGTTACATTATTCAAAATACGAAATTCATTTCATCTCTAACTGTTCATTTTATGACGACATCAGAAACCACCGTGTTCAAAATGCTCCCTTACTTCCCCACCATTTCTTACCACAAAAAAACAATTTTACTACTAAAATCAATGAACCCACATATTATAGAAGAAGTGGGTAAATTCGTCTTCCATTGCCTAAAAAGAAGAAGTCAAACCCAGTAAAACTAGTATCATGTATGTTGTAGAATATAGTATAATGTTAGAAGTAGATATAGTCTCACATACCACTGTATTTTCTTTCTATGTTGTTTGTAACTGCAATTAGCCCTCGGGCATGTATTTGCAATAAACTTTCAATTATTGAGAACGATACAAAAGTCAACTTTCTGGCCATTTTTATTGTAAGAAGCAGTCTGAATCAACCCCCAAACCACTGCATAGTGCAATTCAGGAAGTGGATATGCGCGACAATATTACGCGTACGAGTGTGTTTAAAATTCAAGCTGGAAACAAATTGTCCTGTCAGCCATGTTTGTATACTATTTTGTGGTGGTGTAGCAAAATAAGTGGGCCTTGTGTGGGCTGTTTTAGCGCCAACAATGAATGTCAGATAATACTAGTACATGTAGTACAGATATGCTCGAAAGTGGAAGTAAATGACAAAGAATTTTAAATTAAAGTTTGTGAAAAATTGAGCTGCATGGACTCAAAGTAGCGTTCTGTTTTATCTAGTGAATTGAGTTGTGAGTCTTCATGATCGTCACCGCCCATACTAGCATTTTTGTATGTACTGGGTTGTGAGTGAAAAACAACAAACTAGCTGCCCAAGCCCAATGTACATACATGTATATATGTATACACATATGGATAATCGGAATGGATTCATACCTATCCTATAGTATACGACATTGGTCTCCACCAGACTTCTTTTGCGGGGTGAATAAATCGTAGAATTCGAAATCGGCCTAAAAAGGGTATTAATTGGCCAGAGAAGGTAGCCGGCAAGAGAAGCTTCCATTTCCCCTCCAT